GGATTCATGTTCTTATTTTTCATAATGATAAACTGTTTCTGTGCCGGTTAAGGGAAGGCTATTCATTGGTGAGTAAGGAGTGATGCTGCAGCCACCGTATCATTGGAATTAGTCAATGGTTAACCAAAGGAGGCTCCCACTCTATCTTTTTTTATCACCATTTCACAAAAATTTAATATGGTGGAGTGCAAGCCACAACAACAAAATGTGCAAGTGGACTAGAGCTGTGCACACATGCTCAGTTTCGCCTGATGTTGATGCTGTCTATCACTGTTCCCAGTGTTAAATCGGAAGTGGAAATTGCTGCATAGGCCGTATCGAGCCCGGTTATAGTTATGGTCATGCTTCTGCCTCCTCACCTCTATCACCATGCTTTTTTGAATTCTCTGGGAGCTCATATTAAATGGGCAGTTTCTTACAGTCTGTGTCTTAATTTCCCCCCCAGCTTCATAGTCACGTCACGTACCTTGTAGATAGCCTGTGGGATTGGTCCATGAATTTACTGAAAGACTGGGAGGGCATGACAGCTCTCTTATTGGAAAATGCTGATGATCAGAAAGAAGGTAGGTGGGCTGATAAGCTTAGAGCTTTCAGTTGGGGTGCTGCCATCATGTCATGGCGCTGGGTTGAATGAGAAGTCAACTGACATTGAACGAGAGGGGTCAAGTTGGGGTATCGGTAACAGGGGTCCTGTGTCAATGTCAAGCAGTAGTTTAAAATGATATCTGTGTTTTCAGACAGTGAAGCAGAGGCTCAGTCTCCCAGTCAGAGCTGTGCCACTGCAGCTCACTCTATATAATTTGACCTCAAGACCTTCAGTGTGTGATCGCTACCTCAGAACAGCTGATTACCTTGTATACATTTCTGCATATGCTTGTGGGGGGATAGGTAGGTATGATAGCTTGTCTAGGAAGGGTCCAATTCTTCAACTGCCTTTGATCACTATGGGTGCATTCAGATGCGCCGTTTGATCTGGTGTCGTGACAGTTCAGCAATGGATTTTATACGCACGATCAGACAGTCAACATCTGCCTCCTGTCCCCAGCTGTTGGTTTCCGGCTCAAAACCCCTTTAACCCGGAGTATTTTGTTACCAGGTCCCAAAGTGGTGTTTTCTCAGCTCTCCCGTTTAAAGCCGCAGTTTCCCCTGTGTGATCACTCCTCCGGTGTCAAGCCACTTCCAATGATTTAAACCCCCTCCCCGCTCGGAAGCTCGAGGCTTCTGCTTTTCGGCCGCCATTTTTTTTGTGCATTGGCCGTATAAGCGGAGCTCTGCTCCCACGTTTTTAAAACCAGCATTTAAACAGTCACTAGTTTTGAGTTCGGGATCCCAAAGAGGCCAGTTTCAGGGGAAAAAAGTTTAAAGGGAAGTCTTCTGTCAAAGCAGTGGAATCACGGTGCTCTGAGGAACTGTCTCGCAAAATTCGTGATATGCCCTAGTGGCTCTGCGCATGCGTGAGGATAAAGTTTTTCAGTTCCACAGATAAACAGTTATGCGTATGCACAAACTGAGAAACAAACAAAAAAACCGCCCAACACACGCTCCCGTGTGATCGCGATTGTCCAAAGTAAAAATAATCGCGTCAGAACTGGACCAGTTTAAACCGCTCTCAGCACGCTGTCTGAACACACCCTATGTGTTTTTACAGCTTAAAATACATGGAGAACTCCATAGTCCTGATTATCTTTGCCAATAAGGTATTGATTTTTTTAAACCACCTGTTCATCGGACCTCTCTTTCCCTGAACATATTTAGAGCTTTTTTTCTGGAGAATGTTTTAGATGTTTCCAAATTAACCCTCATAGGATCGTAACTTCTTTTCTATGGGAGTCTGAATGGAGTCTATGTGTCGTTTTGCTTACAGCGCTGAGTGATGCCCAAGAGAGTGCCCTCACTGAGATAATCTTAGCAACTGTCCGAGAAGCTGCTGAAGGTCATCCTCCTGTGGGCAGAGGGGGCGCCAAGAAAGTCAGTGGGAATGTTCTTCTGATTTACTGGTTGTCTGTTCGTCCAAATGATCTTTAGCAGCACACTTCTTTGCAACCGGAAAACATAGTCATTGTTACAAGCCAAACAATTTGCATTTCTTTTAACTAATGCAATGAAAACATAATTTTTTTAAAAAGAGCGGAGGTTATCTTTATAATTTCCATTAAATTCGTTGTGTTCCGCTTCTGTTTTTCAGTTCTGATGTTAGGGCTGAAATACAACAACACTGTAGTTTTGTGACAGGAAATCCAGATGTATTATTTTTACCCCCAAAGAAACTACATGCAAAGGCTAATGCAAATGGTGGCCATAGTGTTGAGGAACGATGGTATTTGTTTTCCCCCATCGCACTGAGAATGGTCCCTCTGGGTTGCTTTAAGTCAAAGCAGGGGGAAAAGATGGGTGACCTTATTGTTCCTGACCCTCCCTCATCCATGAAATAAGCAGATGGGATGAAGTCCATTCCAATTGGAAAAATGGTGCTTCAGGGGAGAGCATTATAAATTTGAAAATCATGCTGTGGGTTTTGTTTTATCTCATCCAACAGTGCAGGAATTTCTTTTGTATTCCACCCTTTTGCAACTGGGGCAAACACTTAAAATAATCAGTTAAATTGGGTTTTCATCTGTATGCTAGATGGGGTTCTGATAATGGTGTTAATCATAAATAAACAGTTATTAAATTCAGAAAAAAGGGGGGGGAGAGCATTACACCCCCACTCCTAACACTGTGATTTGATCCTCATCAGGCTTCCCAGAAGTTGCTTTCTGGGGCTATATAATACATCTGGAGCTAGAGTCTCAGAACTGCAGCATCACATTCAAAATGACCCTCAATCACATTGTGATACTACGAGAGCCAAGAGATCTGCATAGTTTGTTCAAAGTGGCTGGCAGTGCTGAACTCTTTCATGAGGGGCTGATATGACTGGAATGCCGAGAGTCTTCTTTATCTGCATGCTCCTTTGCACATACTAAGATACGTTTTGGACTCACAACAAAAAATCTGTTTTACAAAATGGATTTCTCCCTGCCGATCAGCAACTACTCTTTTTAAAAAAGCATATCTGTCATTAAACCTTTAATTAAGGAGTCACAACACTGGATTCATTCAAACCCTAATATTTTGCTTATACCGACTTATAACCCTACAACTAGTTTAAATACTAATCCATGGCATGCTTATGTTGTAATAGGAACAACATGTTTTGTCTGCAGATCCTATCCACCAAAGAGAAGAAGGTACAAGTGGAAGATAGTATTAAAATTACTGAACATTTCACTGTGGTGCTTCCTCAACTCTTGGCAAAGGTAAACTAGCAGCCGTTCGAGTGAATGCATATTAAATCTTTCATCCTTCAAATAAGGATCCAACAAAACTGGAAGACGTGGAGCCCTGAAGATATGGCTCCCTGGTTTCACCATCTACAGATCTTTGCTAGCCCTTTATAATACTGAATGGTTTTCGAAGGTTTTATGGTTATAATTGTTATTTATAGGTTTTATCTTTTATGTAAGCTGCCCTGAGTCTGCTTCGACGGGGAGGACAGGGTATATATTGGTTGATTGATTGAATGAATGAATGAATAAATAAATAGATAAATTTGAATTTCAGCAGTTTGCTCATATCCTGTTTTCCTTTGCAGTATTCCGAAGATGCAGAAAAACTGACAAACCTCCTGCAAATTCCACAGTATTTTTATTTAGATTTGTATGGTACTGGACCTCTGGAAAAGGTGAAGTTGTGTTTGTGTGTGTGTGTGTTTCAGCGAGAGAAAATATTAATTTGTATGCTAAAGAGGATGGTGGAAGTTTTATGAGAAATGCAATGGTGTACCCTAACATTCGTGAACAATTTGATTTTGGTAAATGAGAGAAACTAAACAAGAAAAACTATAATAAGTCCAGTAGCAGTTTAGAGATTTTTGTGGTATAAGCTTTCAAGAGTCAATAATGCTCCCTTTGTCAGATACCTGACGAAGGGAGCATTGACTCTTTTATGACCAACAAAGTTTTATTCAAGATATAAGCTTTCATGTGCAAGCACACTTCTTCAGATACAGTGAAACAGAATTTCCTCAACCATTACATATAGGAAGGGGGGGTTAGTTGCCAGGAAGGTCTAATTAGAAACAAGATAAATAAGTAACTGGGTGTTTTCAGACACGCCGTTTGATCTGGTGTCATCACGCTTCAGCAATGGATTTTATATGCACGGTCAACATCTGCCTCCCGTCCCCAGCTGTTGGTTTCCGACTCAAAACCACTTTAAGCGGGAGTATTTTGTTACCAGGTCCCAAAGTGGTGTTTTCTCAGCTCTCCCATTTAAAGCCGCATTTCCCCCCTGTGTGATCGCTCCTCCGGTGTCAAGCCACTTCTGGTTTAAACCCCCTCCCCGCTTGAACGCTGCCCGAGGCTTCCGCTTTTCACCCACCATTTTTTTTAATGCATTGGTGGTGTGCGCATAGGCGGAGCTCTGCTACTGTGTTTAGAAAACCGACATTTAAACGGTCACTTGATTTAGAGTTTAGATGAGTTCAGGATTGCACGGAGGCCATTTTCGGGTCTAACTTTTAAAGGGAAGTCTTTTGTTGGAGGGGTTGGATTGATTCGCCCTGGTGGTTCTGCGCATGCGCCATGATAGTTCTCCCCCAATTCTACGCAGGGGCGCCTATGCTGCCGCACATTCCCGCATGGGGAGCGACAGGACTGCGCGGTGAGGTGGGATAAGGGAGGTGTGATCGCGATTATCCAGATCAAATATAATCTGGTCAGAACCGGAGCAGTTTAACCCGCTTTCAGCATGCCATCTGACCGCACCCACTGGGCGATTATAGCTGGGATTGGATTAAGGTGGTTGCCATCTGTGAATGGCAGTAAATTAGCATACAAATTCAAGAGTTAACAAACATATGTGAGGACAAAGTTTTGAGTCCAGTGGCACCTTCAAGACCAGCAAAGTTCAATTCTGGGTATAAGCGAGAATGGAGAGACTTAGCATGTGTAGATGTACACTCCTACAGATTTATAGAAACAGATCTCCTCAAATATTACATGTAGGTACCCTCTCTCTTCATGTGCTTGCACATGAAAGCTTATGCCATGAATAAAATTTTGTTGGTTTTAAAGGTGCCACTGGACTCAAACTTTGTTCTGCTGCTTCAGAACAACCTGAATTTATCTCTTTAAAATCTTGTTGGTCTCTAAGGTGCTAAATGACTTGCATCTAGCTGTTCTCCACAGAGCAACACAGCTGCTCTCTGAAAGAAAAATTATTGTACTACAGAAAGTGATCTTCTAGAGGCCTAGGATGTAGATCTGAGGTAGGGCATGGAGGAAAATGTCCCGTCCCTTTAATATCTGTGGAAATGGGCAGCTGAAGCTTTTCATGGCATGGCGGTCAGTAACATTACCTGGTAAATAACATCCCATGAAGCCTCTGTCAAAAGGGACAGAATTTTTTCTCTCCACGCAGCTAGCAGCCCTGTCCTTGAAGGCCTTTGGTGCAGCAACTTCGCTGAAACTCAATAGGACTGGCCCTGGTCAGAGGCCCTGGGTATCCCATGCCCTACCTCAGATCTACATCCTAGGCCTCTAGAAGACCACTTTCTGTAGTTCCTTGTAGGAAAGACAGAAATGCATGCGATAAAATATGTGGTTAAATGGAAGTCACCGGAAAGTGCTCTGACACCTTTCTCATAGAGCCGCTGAGTTCTAGTTGCTTGTGTATTGCTGTTTAAAAATATCTGGAGTTTTGCATCACAAACTCTGGACAAGGCCCCAATAAAAGAGAGGAAAATGGAGTCCCGGTGATATGGCCTGTCAATATCATTTCAGAAATAAAATATACTCTCCCCCCTTCATGATTAACGTTTGGGATGAGACTCTTCATCTATGTTTGGTGTGTCAGGGGGAGGGGTTTATGTTAGAAGTTTGCACTAGAACTTGATGCTTGGGCCCTTTCTCCTGGGTCCATATTTCCTTTTCTTCTTATTTGTCAGAATGCACAGAGGATATATTGCCATCACCCCAAGCAGAATTGTAGCAGGCTCCACAATATATTGTTCCCGTCCTTAATATCTAACTTTGCTGTAAAGTGGTATAGGGCTCTACACCAGAAATAGGAGGATGCCTGGATTTCTCCATCTGGAATGGGCCTTTCTCTTTGGGTCTGTTAGGGAAGAGGAGAATGGTTGGCCAAAGTTCAAAATAGGACCTGTCATGTTGATGGCAGTGCTTGTGTAGAATAGAGATGAAGTTGCCCTGAGTCTGTCATTCATGCTTTGATTTTAACTGTTTGGATTTATAGCCCATCAGATCCCTAGGAGCATGCTCACGCAAGGTTCGAGTGACATCGGGCTGGCCTTGGGCATGCTGATTCAGCTACGTAACAGCAGTTGTCAGCCTGTGCTGATCTGCTTGCAGAACAGATGTGAGGACCGCCTCTGCCTGTGCATAGATACGGCCTCTTCCTGATGCGTACCACCTTTTCTCTGGGACTATTTCCTGCATGTGTGTCTGCATGTGGTGGCACAGAAATTTTGTGTGTGCATGTGACCTAAGACCATGTGACAACATTTCACCATCCTCTCTGCAAATTAGATCACTGTTATTGTGGGCCAAGCAAATAGAGTTGTATTTTTCTAGGCTACACAGTGCATTAGTGAAGCTTTGCACCTATGATTAAGCTACTGTGGCACTCATTACAGTTTTGTCTTCTTCGTAGCACTTGGATGCCTTGCTAAGAGAGGTGAAAGCCATTGTAATGGACCACAGTAACATGGATGTCCTGGAGGCCTGTTCCAGGCTGTACTATATTCTTTGCAATGAAGAACTTCCCATATATAACAAAGTGGCTCTTGCTAGAACTGAACTGGTCAACGAATTGGTGAACCAACTAAATCAGCTCTTGGGATCGTTTTTAAGTGAGGTAGGCATGAGGGGTCTGCTGTAACAAGAAATACCTTTAGTTTTCTGAAGCAAAAATTAAGTAGAAGGGTTTTTGTTTTCCAGGGGAGGGGCAAATATGAAATGCACATTTTTTAAAGAGTGGAGATGGAAGTAAAGAGTAGAGAATCAGCATGGTATTGTGGTTAGAGTGTTAGACTAGGATCTGGGATAACCAGTTACATATTCCCACTCTGTCATGGAAGGGTCCTGGGCGACCTTGGACCAGTCATTCTCTCTCTCAGCCTAGTCTAGCTCACAGGGCTGTTATTGTGAGGATGAAACAGAAGAAGCAATAAGGATGTTGTAAGCCACTGGCGGGATCTGGTCCGTGGGGTCGTGAAGAGTCGGACTCGACTGTGCGACTGAACAACAACAACAAGCCACTTTGGATCCCCAGTGGGGTGAAAGCAGGAACAAATAAATAAAAGGCACTTCAGGCATATAGGGAAATAGTTTAAAGGGTATATGCCTATGTGCGGCACGTACATGTGTATACACACACACACATAGAGTACACAGTCACTATGTAGTGGGTTTGCTATTACTGCAGGCGAAGGATCCTGCTTGACCCTTGTGTTGTTTCATGGTACTATCAGATGGCGCAGTCAGGGTATGTTTGCTGTTTCTTCCTTACATCCTGCAAGACACAACAAGAACTAGAATTGTGGATGAGTTGCTAGGGGAGGGCTGAGATGCAAACTCTCTTGCCACCTTAGAACTTTTGAAGGTTGTTCCTCTGGATGACATTTGGCAGCTGTGTGTGGGACGTGCTCACTCACAGTAAAATGGACCTCTCTCCTGTGCTGGTTTATATATGGAATATAACTTATTTCCTATGCAGGAGTGAAATGAGTATTGGGAATTTATCATGGGTTCAGTGGTCCAAAGTTTAATGGTTGTTATGTATGTGTATCTGTGTGTTTTAAAACCCTGTATCAATAATGTTCCCATTTCAGAACATTCTAGGTTTTCTGCTTGAGGTAGTGAAAACTATACTGTGGTAGAACAGAGGTGGGGAAAAAAGAATAAAATGTAACATGTCTTCTACAGAGTGTAGTATGATTTCTGGATGTTTAATATTCTCATTCACATTTCATATTCTACTGCCAGCCTGTTTGAAGTCTGCATTCTAAACTGATGAGTGCCTGTTATTTGACAACATTTATCTGAAATACAGTCAGAAAGTTAATTTAAGGTGCAGATTATTTTGTAGATAAAACAGATACCCACCCCTATTGGCTGGGGCCAATGAGAAATCTTCCTTCTCCATGGCTTTTAAAGTTTCGCAACTGGAGACTCTTTTAAAACATCTTGTAAAGCTTTTATGTCTTAATAGTAGCTTTCCCATCACTCTGTGTGTGTGTGTAGGGGCTGCAGAAATACTTGAAAAGGTTTTCGTTGTTCTAAGAATACAAGAGCAGCTGTTGGAAGTATGAATAGCCTGCAGACTCAGTTCAACAACAGTTGATCAACTGTGCCATCGCTAACAGATGTCATTCCATCGTACAAGAGTTCATGCTGATAGGGTTTTTTAATTGACATCTGAAGTACAGTAAATGTAGTAGGCAAAATTAGCCCACATTTATTTTGGTAATGGATGATTCCGCACCAATCCAAGCTAGTTTATCCAGGGAGGTCAGCCAAATTCTACCAAAAGCAACCTTGTTTTGTGCACCACAACTGTATTATGCAAATTGGGAAAACTAACAAATCTTCTTTATTTATAGGACGAAGTTTCAGAATCTGCCTTGTCTTTTATTTTTGCGTGCTTTGGGACATTGACCAGAATCCCTGACCAGGGAGTTCAGGGTGGTCTGTGTTTTATTCCATCCTCCATTTTACCATAGTGTAGTGTATCAAGTCCCGACAAGTCCGGACATGTCCAGGGGCAACCGTGAGCATCGCTCCTAGAGACAATGGACTATGAGGATCCTAGCCCGCTCCAATCAGGAGGCTAGGTTCCTGGCCGAGAAGCCAATGGAACTCTCGGCCACTGTAAATAACCTATTGGGAAGTGGGGGGGGGCGTTTTGGGTGGTGGTTTCTGGGGGAATATAAGCCGGCCTGTGAGCCGGCCAAAGTGTCTTGTTCCTGACTGAATAAAGTACGCTTTGCTGAAATCACTCTCCGTCTGCGTACTTTTCACATAGCAATTACCGGGTGAGGTAGATTAGTCTGAAAGAAAGTGGCTGGCTGAAGGGTTGCCCTGTGACCTTTGACACTCAGTAGGGATTTGAATTTGGGTCCTAGTCTGGCACCACTGCAAACATCTGCAGCCTCTGAATTGGGAGACAGGCAGGAGCTCAGAGCAGCAGTGTGCATAGAGGTGTTTTCAAGCTTCTTGGAAGTTGTGTCCTCCTTCTAAAACTTTCTTTTCCTTCCAGTGCTCTCATCCCAGCACCAAATCGTCTACTTCACAGGTAAGGGTGCAGAAGTCCTCGCACGTGGTTATGTGGATATTGCTGCTGCTGTATGAATTCAGGTGCTGATCTCAGCTCCAGGATTAGAAGCAGATCAGAACAGGATCTCTCTGACCGTCTCCCAAAACTATGCACAACGAAACATAAGAACAAAGCCACAGCCTTTTCTGAGCTCCCTTCTCAAATGAATCTGGAGAAGGGAGGATGCAGTCACTCCCCGCAATCCGATGTGCACCAGTGAGGAATCTCTGCTGTGTGCATTCAGCGCACCCAGACCTTGGTTGGTAGGGTAGGAATGCACAACCAGTGTTGGGGTCCTAGTTCCTGGCTTCTCTCCCTGCTGCCCCATGAAGGGGCCTTCCCTGCAGTTGGGCAGCTGCTGTTTATACAGCACAGCTGTAAAATTAACAGTTTCCAATGCGTAAGAGTAATGCAGAGGCAGCACAGCATGGGGATCGAGCAGATTGCAAGAGGCCATTGCATGATGGCAGCTCAGGCCCTTTAGGCACCTGGAACTGGGCCTACATCCTGCATCAAGGCAACAGCAACCGTGGCCACTGTTAGCCTTTTGCCAGAGAGAAGCCCTTATATGGTGTGTGTAAGTGTGTGCTTCTGGGTAGCGTGCATGGAATGTATGTAGGGCTGCTGTAGGGCCCATGTGTCTTGCCTCAGTTTTTCAGATGTGGCTTTAGAATGGCTCTCGTGGTTAAGTGCTTAGTGGATGCTAGCCACCAAGGCAGAGAATTGCTGAAACTCAGCTTAGTGTTTTCTCTTCTGTCCTTTGTGCTGTGGTTTAGGGAGAAGGTCTCTGTGCAGAAGAAGAAGGGATTCACTGTATATACTCCACTTTGAGAAGAATAACTGCTTTTCATAAGTGAGATATCTTTTATAATGGTTATTAACTTTCATTCCTGGCCCAATGTGGGACAGACTCTGTTAGAATTATGTTGCTTTATTTATAAAACCAGAATGGAAGAATAATAATATACTGCATCAAAATGTGAAATCACTGGATGAACCAGAAAAAATACAGCAGCTTGAGCTTTTTTTGTGTGTTCAAATGTCCTTGCAAATATCAGTCAAAATGGCAGTGAACTGGAAGTCTTGAGAGACTGATTTGGGATCAGTACATTGGTGAAAGCACTAGAATATTTCTTCCAGAACATTTATAGTTTCAATGAACTGATGTTTGTAGAGCTTTAATTCCATTTAATCTGAAATACTTGGGATTCCTTGTAGAGAAAAGGCTATGAGCAGGCATTGGGTATTAGTTATACGTCGTCTTATAAAGAATTGGCTTCTCAGAAATGTTGGTTATTCATTGTACAAGGAGCTTCTTAGAGATCCATTGTACTGAGGCTGAAATCACTTCACGGGCCTAAAACTGATCTTAGGTCAACACAACATTGGGGGTTTCCTTACCACATGACCAATGCTCCCTCTAAGCTGTCGAGTCTTGTGAGCATTTATTGCGACAGGATCAAGAACTAGATTGCGTGGGTGTTTCCGACACTTTTGTTTCAGTTTTTATCACTAGAAGCAGGAGGAGACAGATTGCGTGGGTGTTTCCGACACTTTTGATTCAGTTTTTATCACTAGAAGCAGAAGGAGACAAGAGTCTGCGACGGCCAGGACTATGTGGCACGGCAGGTCTCCATGCTATTCTTCTCCTTTCTGTTCATATGCAAGTGACATGGGTTGTACTAGGACTAGTGCTGCAGTAGCACAGGCTGATGATGTGCAACATGTGGATTTGAACATAAGAACATAAGAGAAGCCAATGTTGGATCAGGCCAGTGGCCCATCCAGTCCAACACTCTGTCACACAGTGGCCAAAAGTACCAGGTGCCATCAGGAGGTCCAGCAGTGGGGCCAGGACACCAGAAGCACTCCCCCTGTTGCCCCCCCCCCCCAACACCAAGAATACAGAGCATCACCTATCCCAGACTGAGAGTTCCTATCTATGCCTTGTGGCTAATAGCCACATTCGTGCACCATCCCCACTTATTGAGGTGGCACACAACATGTACTCTGTTCATGGCAGGCTCTTCTAAGCTAGCTTGCACTGTTTTAAGAAATATTCTGTTGTCAGAGTTGTAGAGATAGTGAACTAGAGGAAGATACAACTGTTGCCTGCATTTTAACAATTTAGGAACAGACTGGTAAGGATTCTGTTGTGAACTGACCATATTGCTATCACTTGTAATCAATGAAATCGCTCATATAGACTTTTAATATTAAAAGAGACTTAGCAACACCCCTCCAACAAAAACCCAAACAAACCCAATGTCTGTTTACTTGTGTGGTATGAAAAGGAGTCTGGTATCTATCTTTTTTTCTTTTCTTTTCTTTTTTTGCCATCAAGTACAGCCAACTTCTAGGCTGTAGTGGCTCAAGTGGTTGAGATGCTGAACTGCAGGCTGGAAGGTCAGTAGTTCAGCAGTTCGAGACCCGAGTGCCGCAAGACGGAGTGAGTTCCCGTCTCTGGTCCCAGCTCCTGCCAACCTATCCGTTCGAAAGCAAGAAATTGCAAGTAGATAAATAGGTACCGCTTCGGTGGGAAGGTAACAGCGTTCCATGCGCCTTGGCATCTAGTCATGCCGGCCACATGACCACAGAAATGTCTTTGGACAGCACTGGCTCTTCGGCTTGGAAACAGAGATGGGCACCGCATCCTTAGAGTCAGATTCGACTGGCTTTCAAGCAAGGGAAACTTTTACCTTTACCTTACAGCCAACTTATAGCAGTCTAATAAGGTTTTCAAGGCATGAGACGTTAAGAGGTGGTTTGTCATTGCCTGCCTCTGATTTGTAGCCCTGGACTTCCTTGGGGGTCTCCCATCCAAGTAGTAACCAGGCCGGACCCTGCTTAGCTTTTGAGATCTGACAAGATTGGGCTAGCTGGGACTATCTGGGTCAGAGCAGTACCTTTCCTGAGAGAAGTTTATTTTTTAAATCGCCATCTGACTATAGGAAGATGAATAGTCTTTCTCTTTCCAATTTTCTTGAGTAGCATTTTTATAAGGGACAAATGAAATAATGAGGAAATGGGATTGGTTGGTTTTCTGTCTTTTCTTTCTTTTTGTGGAAGTCTTTTTTGCCACGGCCACTTGAAAGTCCCCCTAGTGATGCTTCCTTTCCTCTTGGACTTTAGTGCCCATGATCTCTCCAGGTGGGATCTCTATGACAAGATGTCTGAGCTGCTTGTTTTTGAGATGGAACACAGCTGCTTACCTGTTCAGGTAACTGTAATACTATTTTAAACCAGAAATTATTTCAGCTTTTCAAAACAATCCTTGTTTCAAGCATCCTAAAATATAAATTACTATTTTACATATCATTAGGCAGAATTTCCTACAAGTCTTTCACTGAAAGATTCCTAATAAAGTGACAGAGACCACATTTAGCTGTATGTGTATAACTTGTTCTTTTTGCAGGGAGGTATACTCTGTTCTGCATAATGGTGATTGCCATACTAAACCTCTGTGATTCACATTGTTATATAATCGTATGATAACCCTGACTTTATTCTTATTTCACAGATTATTTTGCCTGCTTTACAGTGTGCTTATTTTGCACTTCTCTGGCAGCTAGCTTCTGTGGGAAAGAAGCCGTCTTCCAAGGTTAGCTCTAGATGCTGAAAATGTTTTGTCAAGCCTCTTTTGTGTTCATCTCTGTTGTTTGGAGCTTCAAAAGCTGCAGGGTTTGCAGACACATGAGTGACTCATATTGGAAGCAAGGAATCAGAAGGCAACATGTGAAGCAACTTCAGTCTCCAGAAAATGTTTGCTATGTGGGAAGAAAACATGGTTGCCTATTTTCTGGTGATACATGAAAAATCAGTCTTCCCACCCGGGATCAAGTCCTAGACGGTGGAAGCCTTCCCATGGACCAATCTGAAGTTAGTAATAGCACGTTCAGGCCAATGGTAAACTGTTTTGGCCCCTAGGCTTTGTCACTATAGGAAGCAAAAGGGAAAGGATGAGAACATGGAATTCAAGGATGGGGTGGGCAGGCAGTGGAATGAAATTGTGCTGTTTCACATTCATATCTCCCTGCAGATTTGGGAAGACTTGCTTTGTTTTATTTCCACTTTGAGAGCACCAGCATCTGCTTTCACTAAGAATAATAGTTGTTTTAAGTATTCAAGGAAGTATTCTGCAATTACATGATTCTTCTCCCCACCCTTAAAGGAAAACCTCTTTGTTCTGAAAACACATTTGAGGCATTACTGCCATGTTTGCTCATGCTGCTTCAGCCACAGCCACAGAGATGTTCGTGAGACGGTAAGAATTTTGCGAACACTTTATAATTTTACTTTTCTGTTCAGATTGATATTCTGTCTTGTCTTAAGGACGCACATGAAAAAGGCATGCTTTGGGAGACTAAGCGACCTGATCTATACGTGCAGTAGAATCAGAGAGGTACGGTAGTATGCTGAGGTGGCAGAAAGGACTGAACTGCTTCGGACCACTGGTGGGGTGGGATCATAGATTTGAATAGTTTCTTATGCAACAGCAACAATAAATCCTACAAATAGAAAACTAGCACAAATGGTAAAAAGCAGGGCTAGGATCTTTCTTCCTAGTATCCTGACTTTTAATTTGCATTCACTTTTTAAAAGTGAGCATCCCACCAGTTGAAAATGGTAGGCCTATCTGAAATCTAACGTGATAAAGTCTTTTCTGCCACCTTATTCTGCTGCACAGGTGGACTCAGCCTCAAGGTATATTAAGCAAAGGAACTGGACTGCTGTGTGTGTGGAGGGGGGTGCATGGCAACAAGGAAGGAAACATGAATAGAACTTCATTACAAAACTGCACTCTCATACTCCGTTTCTGGGATTCACCCAAGTGACCGTAGGATTTGTTTGTTTAGATATTTATATCACATTTTTGTCCTCAGTGGGGACGTGGAGCACTTCCAAAATTGTTCTCCATCCATTTTATCCTTACAACAACAGCCCTGAGGCTGAGAGAGTGTGGCTGGCCCAAACTTGCCCAGTGAACTTTCATGGCACGGTGGGAATTCAAACCTGGGACATGCACTTGGGAATCGCATGTCCCTGGCATGTATCTGTTGTGTGTTTGAAAATGCATACTGTCCTTCATGCTTTATATTTCTGCTACCAGGGGAAATATGCCAAGCATACTAGCTGTCTTGGTGTGCAGTTCAGTGTCTCTGTGCCAATGGAATGAATCCCAGCTTGTCATTAGCTGAAGTATGTGTTATTGACCACCAGTGACAAAAGAGGGAGAAAATGTTTACGGTTATAAAATGTGTGTCCAAATTAAAATTCAGTGAAGAATGGCCAATAGATGGTTTGTGTGTGTGTCAAAGCATAATAGTGAAGATCAGTTTTCTTCCTTATAACTGCAGATTATCTTTAATAGGTTGTATTCTTTTTTGTTTGTCATCTCCCACTGGTCAGGATTTTGTCGTTAATGTATAGAGATATCTTAACTTGCCTGTATACATTTTAGTTATCTTTATACAACCCTACAGGGGTCATTTCATAGAAAAAGAGGTGCAGGAGCTCATTAGCATAACTTGTTTGCATATGCTACACCCCCTGACGTTATTGGAAGTGTGTCAGAAGGCAACACCCACTGCTCAGGCTCCACTGGACTGTTTTGAATTGCTAGCTATTGGGGGGGGGGGACGTGCAGATCTGTCCTCGCAGAGGAGGGAGAGCTTGTACCTGAATAAAACTTGTTCTTAAAAGTGCCACTGGACTGTTTTGACCGGGGATCTGGGGGGAGCTCTGCAACTTATCTGGCTGCTTCTTGCTCTGACTGAGGGCTGCTGGGAGCAGGGGGTGGGGCTCGTTGCATGTTCCCACCCCCTGGGCTCTTTACTGCCGGAGCTCCGTTCCTGTGCGCTCCTGCAGGAAATGACCCCTGCATCTCTACACATTTAGTTTGTTTTAGTTTAGTCCTTTTAGTGTTTGTAGTGTTTCAGAAATAGGAACTGAATGAAGGGATAATTCAGCCTTTCATATTTGTACTGGTAATGGAACTGGGAACAGCTAGTTCCTGTGTATCAGCTAATGTTATAGTCTTTTAAGCAGGGATTTGTAGTATACTGTTTCTAGCCTGCAGAATGTAATTAGCTGGTTTAAATTTCCTTCTAGAAAATTCCCATTCCTCTTCTTCATTACTTTGCTTAATAAGGAGTGGTTAAGAGCAGCGGACTCTAATCTGGAGAACCAGGTCTGATTCCCCACTCCTTGACATGAGGCCAGCTGGGTGACCTTGGGTCAGTCACAGTTCCCTCAGAGCTCTCTCAGCCCCACCTATCTCACAAGGTGTCTGTTGCGGGGAGAGGAAGGGAAGGTGATTGTAAGCCGCTCCAAGACTCTGCGGGGTATAAGGCCAACTCTTCCTCTTTATCACCTGTGGGTCAGAAGGGTCAAAAAATGCCTTATCGGGGTGAACCGTGATGTCCCTTGTGAGGATGTACCATTCGAGACTGAGTCAAGAGCCCAATGGTGCAAACCTGTCCATTTGAAGAGGGAGTTTTAAGGGCAGGTGTGAGGGCAGGTCACCTCAGGCATTTTGTTTCATGATGTTGGATTGTGATGCCTTTCAAGAGAATCTGGACAGGCTAAAAGATACAAAGTTGAATCGTACTCATTTTCCTGCAGTGTGCTCTTTAGAAAGTCTGATAATCGGAACGATGTTCCACATGGGGAAAACCTTGGAGAGCGACTGCCAGCCTGAGTGGACGGTCGTGACCTGGATGGGCCAAAGGTCTCATTCACTATAAGGCAGCTTCATGTGTTCACAGTGGACTAAACCCAGCAAGCCCTGACCTGGATGGCCCAGGGCAGCCTGGTCTCGTCATATCTTGGAAGCTAAACAGGGTTGGCCCTGGTTAGTATTTGGGTGGGAGACCAGGCATGCGATTGTAATCAAGGTAGGGTGGAGACGATGGATCATATTTTGCTAGCATGCCCCAACTGGAATATGGAGAGGCCGAAGTATATTATACCCATCTTGATAAAAGAAAAGCTTCCCTCCCTGCCCTGGTCAATTTCTGTTCACTTATCTGATAAAGTTGATAATTCAGTTACCAAAGCAGTAGCCACGTTTCTGGCCCTGGTGGCAAATAAAAAAAAGGGAAAAGGAGGGGAAAGTCCAAATCTTTCTGATTTTATGCTCTGTGTACCTGTTTGAGGATTTACTCTGTCTGACAATCCCATTTAGGGTAACACACTCATATTTGCACAATGCATCTCACTGGGTTTTTTTTCCCTTATATGTATGAATGGCACTTTTATAAGTTTATAAGTGTGTACAAGTGTGCTTAAGACTTTTGGTCATGCAAGCCGAAATAAAGTTGAGTGTAATGGCAGAACAAAGTCTGAGACCAGTGGCACCTTTAAGACCAAGAAAGTTTAATTCAAGGTATAAGCTTGCGTGTGCAAGCACACTTCTTTAGATACAGAGAATCTCTTCGACCATTACATAGAGGGGGTGGGGGGATTGGCTGTCAGGAAGGACCAGTTAGAGTCAAGATGCATAAGAACTGGGTGATTATAGCTAAAATTGGATTAAGGCAAGATTAGCACACAAATACAAACGGTAACATGTAGATGTGAGAATGATGTTTGTGAGTCCAGTGGCAGCTTCAAGACAAACAAATACAAGCAAGAACTCCTTAGATTCATTGAAATAGATTTCCTCAAATATAACATATAGGGGTGGGGTAGGGGTTAGTTGCCAAGAAAATCTAATAGAGTCAGGATGCCTAAGTAGCTGGGCAATAAATACAGCTAAGATTGGAATAACACATTAGGTAATTGGTATACGGATAATAAAGGAGTTAATAACAGATGTAAGAACTAAGTTTGAGTCCAGTGGCACCTGTAAGACCAATAAAGTCTGATTTCTGGTTATAAGTGAGAACTGAGTGACTTAGCATTAGTAATGATATAAGAAGCCAATATCTCTGTTAAGTCCTGGGGGTTCCATTATCCTGAGTGTTGTAATAAATTGTAATTTAGCAGTCTTCCAATTTTGGAGTGAATAGCTTGGGGGGAGAAATATTGCCATCATTGTGTTCATATTGTCCAAAATGACTCTGTTCTTTTTGTTGCCCGTCATTGTAGGCTTTTATGGTGCTTTGTGATTTTCTGATGATCGTGAGTCATCAAGATACAAGTGATGATGGAACTCTTGGGCTACTGGAATATCTTCCCAGTGAGACTCTTCAGTCCAAAATGCTCCTGTTCATTCAGGATCACATTTTCACAGAGGAAGAAGACAAAGCCAAAGGTCAGCAGTGTTTTCCAACAGGAAAGTAGCTATGCTTTGCTGCTGATGGCTGTTCTCTGCAGTTTATAACACTGATCCCCCCCATCAAGCAGTATATAAATGTGATTAGTTTCCCAGCTCTTGATACATAAGAGCCCTCTCTCCATTCGTTTGCTCCTGTTTTTATTGTTCTGTGTTGCTGGAAGTAGCAAGTGGGTAGTTAGCACTGTCATAACACTTGAAGAAGAAACAACCCTCTTGTGACCTCAAAAAGCAAAGAACGGAGTGCAAGTGGTATGGCTTCTGAATCCTGTTTTTCAGGTGAAGATTATATTTTTAGAGTGACACTTTAATGTGACCCGTAACCAAAATTCTTACTATAGACTTGGCAGAAGAAGAGGACAGGAACCAGGATGGCCAGAAACTGGATATCTTGCACATGAAGCGATGCCTCCTTGCAGCATATTGCAAGTTAATCATCCATAACGTTATTGAGATGACTGCAGCTGCTGAAATTTATAAGCATTATATGAAGGTAAATTAATAATCCTACTCACAAAGTCTTCCAAATGCTGCAAAATTTAACTCTATGGGATAAGTACACACAGCCATTCAGCCTTATGAATGCTCAATTATATCTTGTGTGTGTGTCTTGTGATTGGTACGGATTAATAGATTGTGTATTCAATGCACAAAGCTGCTTCTGGAGGCTTATTTAATGTGATGTTTAACTGGGTGTCATCAGCATATTGGTAAGTGTCCGATCCAAAGCTGAGGACAATCTTAGTCAGTCACGTTCCGTAGATCTGGGCAACAATATTGAGCTGTGTGGAACTCAGCACAAGCACAACAGCTCCCGTGCTGCAGAAGTAGCATCACTACTTCTTTGCATATAAGCTCCCGTGCTGCAGAAGTAGCATCACTAATGATCACTTTGCATATGGTCAAATAAAAACACAAAAGCCATTTTAATGCCATGCCTCTGATAGCAATGCCATGAATAAGATGGTTAGAAACTACCTCAGGTTGTTAGAAACTACCCTTATAAGTGACCATAAATATTTCCTGACTTATTTGTTATGAAGCGTAGCTTTTGAATTTTGTGTTCATGGATATCGCTATCTCTTGGCAGGAGGTAACACCTTTTCTCCCTTGCCCTTTAACAGTCTTATAATGATTTTGGAGATATAATTAAAGAAACCTTGAGCCGAACCAGGCACAATGACAAAATTCAAAGCGCAAAGACATTGATCCTCTGTTTACAGCAGGTAAGAATGTTACAGCGGACAACTCCAGTTGTGTTGTTATCTTTCTACGGAATCTTGTTATGGTTATTTGGTTATAAAAGTATTTTATGTTTAGCCACAAAATGGGATTCTGATTCTTCCCCCCAAATACATATATATATATTTTTACTACGGCTGAATGTATTGTTTTTGCCTGGCTGTTTATGTCTTGTACGCATGGCATGTAGTGTCAGGTTCAGAATTCTCACAGTCTCAGTTTTCATTACAAACAAAACAGCCTGTATCCAACCTTCTGTGCATGGGCCACAGAGCTTTCCTGTGTTCCTCTCCTTTTCTGTAGCCCCTTCTGACCCCCACAGAAACCATTTTTGGAGTAGTGGGAACTGTGTGGAGGGACAGCTGGGTGGGATTGGGGCGTTGGATTGAGGAGGGACAAGGGGGTGAAGTTGCTCATCCTTCCTTTTCAGCAACCACCCCTCTGTTGAGAGGAGGGGAATGATTTCATCCTCTTGTCCCTGCTCACTCCAGCCTGCTCCCCCCAACTCACATGGCTGTTCCTCTGCATGAGTCCTCGGAATTATCTTTCTGGGACTCCAAAGGGGCTACAAGATTGAAGAGGAACACAAGGAAACTCAGTGTGCTTCCCATACTTTGATGGTTGGATACAGACTAGTAAATATGGTGTACTCCCTTCCCTTGTGGCCTAGTTCTCTAGCTGTCACCAGCTATCTCTTGTCTAGGTCTCATGGCCAGACTGAATATAGTGTGGAAGACTTGTGATTGCATCTCCTGACATTATTCATGTCTAGAATTTAAAAGCAGCCATGGGATGGGTGATCTGGATTGGGGCTAGGAGGGGGCTTAACCTCTCTATTTCCATGATAGAAATCCCCCCCACTATATTACTATTAGCTGTGGTAGTGTAAACACGTTGCCCCTAAGAGTTGTTTGGAACTGGAGGCTATTTCTGTTGAGGGCATAGAATTGGGTGTTGGTGGTGGTAATGTCCTCTTACCCCAGCTCCAAGGCCCTAATTCAAATCAGGTTCACCCTCAAATCCTTTTGAATGTTTTAAAGGAAATATAGAGACATGCAGTCATGGTTCTGTCATGAGATGTTCTGTTTGGTCCTCACTAAGGTCTGGGCTGTATCACTTCTGACTGCAGGTGGCAGATCATATAAAAGATTGCTCCTACAAACAACAACAAATCCCTTCCCATAAAAAGTAGATGCTGATTTTCTGTGTGGAGGCATGGGAGGGTGTCAGAAGAACATTATCGGGTCACGGCAGAGCCCAGGTTCAGTCTTGCTACCTCAGACATAAAAAGTAGATGCTGATTTTCTGTGTTCAGTCTTGCTACCTCAAACTAGGCCCCAGAGGCCTAGTTGGTGCAGCTTTGCTTCGACTGCCCATCCCAGGAAACTGCACTGAATGTAATATTTACTATACACAGCTAGTCTAACTCACAGCCTGTTCAAGCAGGCTTCCTTTTCTTCCCCTGAGCTTCATTCAGCATATGCCCCTTCAGAAGGCTGGTATGCGAGCTCAGTGGATTTCTCACACGTCAAGAGCTTAGGAAGATCCATGACCCGTCCCCTGAAATCTGAGATAAGAAGAGGCTCAGCAGCATTTAGTGAGCTGCGCTCTGCTTGTATAGCCAGAAGCCTGTGTTTACATATCACATAGGCAACCAGCCCAGTTGTGGGTGTTGGTTGACCTTGAAAGCTTGCAGATCAAAGCATGCTAACCCACCTGACCAGTTTGTTTGTAAAAATGGAGCAGGCCTGTTACTTTGCTTTCTCCTGCCTGTCCTTGGGTGCCTAGCTAGGCAGGTGGTGTGGCTGGAGACACTGAATAAATATGGGCACGCTTAATTGCTTTAGTTGCTTCTCCCCCAACCCCACAAACCAATCAAATTGTGAAAGCTTTTCCTCTGTTTCGATGTCAAATCTAGACTACCAGGCTCTTCCTCAGATAGCAAGGTCTTGAAGTGCTTCCAGACACAAGCTGAAGCTTGGACTTGGTTGAATCTACACCCAATGAATTCCATAGTTGTGCGGCAGTTACTGAACACACACCTTGGCACTGGCTTTGCTGTTGAAGAGCTAATTCATTCTTTACGTGGCAAATGCATTTGCAGTGGACATGAACCTGGGAACTGATGCCGCTTCTAGATCCCCATGCATTTATGGATAGGTTTTTCACCTCCAGGTGTTTGTAATGTTCACTGGGAGATGAGTAGCCACTGTAGACACAGTGTAAAGTCCATACACTGTTAGTCTGTTGCAACAAAAAAGGAGTCTAGGGGCACCCTGAAGACAGATTTATTGTAACAGAAACTTCCATCTATTAGGGCCCCACCTGATTTATCAGGGTGAATCCGGAAAGAATTGTCAAGAGATAGATGAAGGGAAACGTGACAAGCTGAGGGGCTGCAAGGAAACACCAGAGGGTAGGGAGAGACAAGCAAATCTGTACATTCCAAATTCTTCCACCTCCCAGAGCTCTCCCGCCAGAATTCTATAAGCTCAGGAGGGTTTGAGAAGGCCAGTGGAGGACCCCCCTCCCCCCAATCTTCTCCATTTCCCCTTTTAACTGACTCTTAGCCGCACTCAGCATTCTCTGCCTCCTGTAGCATGCTCAGGCCTCACCAGGGATTGTTTTCTTTAGTTTACGAAGTCATATTTTTCTGCATATCCTGAGTATATAGCAACTCTTGGGCTATCTGTGGTTTTGTTTTTGCTGCTTTGCAGAATTGACCCCATTCAACATGGTGACATAGAAGCATCTATCTCATCGATGCACAAAGAAGCAGGGAGAATTCTCTCTAGGCTGATCATACAAGTGTATATACTTGGCTACTTCTTCTTTTGCCAAAACAGCTTTTCAGTTTGCAGTGGAGAACCAAATTAGGGAAGGGTGTGTGAATTTTGCCTTGGTGCTTGTTGCTTCTCTCAACTCTCACTCCCCTCTACCCCTGGCTGCCTTCAGCCTGGTTGGGTGCCATATAAGTATTTTAAAAGATCCAGTGTTCACTGCAGATTTGTCTTCCTCAGCCTTCTCTATCTAGAAGCAGCAGTAATCCAGGTTTTATTACATGTATTTTATTATATGCATATGCGCAGACACTTGTACACGACTATATGTTAATGCTGCTGTTCTTTCAAGGAACTCAGAGCAGGATAGTTTTCTCTTGCTTCACCATGATCCTGTGAGGCAGGTTAAGCTAAGAAAGAACGATCGGCCCAAGGTCATACAGTGACGTTCATGGCTCAGTAAGGACTTGAACCCAGGTCTCCTAGAGTCTTGTCTAGTTCTCTAACCACGAGACAACACTGGCCCTCTACATGTAACATGCTTTCAGATTGCATAGGGGTAGACTATTCTGCGCACATCTGAAGGAAAACATTTCCTGAGCCCTTCATCTCAAGGAGCCCTGAGAGGGTTTCTTGTCCTTGCGGTTAACTGAGAATTTCGACGTGTCGGTGTCTTGATCTCCCCTCCCACTGATTTCCAGCTGCAGTGTTCAGATGCTTGTTCAGCTTGGTGGGATTCTTAAAATATATAACCAGATTACTGGATAAGGGTATGCTTAGCAGCATCCTGTTCAAGGGATTTACCAGTTGTATGACAGGTATGTCCTCCTGGGGCTTTTTTTATTGCCTGGAAAATTGTATGTCATGTTTGTGGTTTGCAGCTGTTTCAGAGGCATGTTGAAAGCCAGGACGGCGGCAGCACAGACACTTCCTCTGCCTCCTTTAACCACATTAAAGAGCTTGCACGGCGCTTTTCTTTGACATTTGGTTGGGACCAAGTGAAAACTCGGGAATCTATAGCCATGATACACAAGTACGTGCCAAGTATGTGTTGTCCTTTTGCCATTCCATTGGTACGTTACCTTCATTATAAGCCTTTATTCTCTCTCCACCTTTCTTCTTTGCCTCTGCTAAAAGAGAAGGTATTGAATTTGCCTTTCAAGGAGCAGCTGGAATGGAAGGGAAGTGCCTGCCTCCCAATCTAAACTTTCTGATGATCCTCAGTGAATTCTCCAATAAGCTTCTAAAGCCTGACAAAAGACTTGTGTAAGTTTCAGTTGGGGCTGATCCTTGCTTCTAGGGTGGTGGTGGGGGGAATCAATGCTGTTCAATGCTGGGCTATCACAGAAGTCTCTCTGGTATCAAAATTAGGCAAAAGATAAATACAGGAGGCGTAAATGAGCTTTAGCACAGCTCCCATTTTCTATCACTTGCATGTTTGTCCTTGGAGGGGATGAATGACAGTGCAAGATTCCTCCAGATACATTTGTTGCTGCCCCGATTCACCTCCACTTCCCTGTCTTCTGTAGCAGAGGAGGCAAATTGCAGAGAGGAGTTTACTGTGGCTTACTTGAGAACATTCTGCTGCTAGTATAGATAATACACAGTACTTAATTCTGCGATGCTTGCTCTTTGCGTGCTTCTTTGGTGGTTTCACATTGTACAATGTAAAAAGGTGTTGGTACATAGCAATATGGCAGTTCGCAACACGTGCTGATGAGTAACTGTGTGTGCATATTATAAGGGGCTGTTGTTACTCTTTGGAATTAACCATTAGAATAGAAGAAGAAGAAGAGATTGGATTTATACCCCGCCCTTCACTTGGAGTCTCAGAGTGGCTTACAAACTCCTTTCCCTCCCCCTCCCCACAACAGACACCCTGTGAGGTGGGTGGGGCTGAGAGAACTCTGACACAAACGGCTCTTTTTCAAGGACAGCTGTGCCAGAGCTTGTGACTGACCCAAGGTCACATCAGCAGGTGCAAGTGGAGGAATGGGAAATCAAACCTGGTTCTCCCAGATTAGAGTCCGCACACTTAACCACTACACCAAACTGGCTCTCAGTCAGAATACTAGTCCTTGGAGGGGGGGAAACCAGTTTGAATACTACCACAGTAATATATGCCGTGACCTGGAGACTGCCAAGGAAGTCCAGGATTGTTGAACTGAGGCAAGTGACAGCAAGCTACCTCTGTTTGTCTCTTGCCTGGAAAACCCTACATCATCGCCTTAAGCTGGCTGTGACAGGACAACACTTCTCACCACGATCATATACTGTGGCCCCGGTCACACGGCAAAGTTGCCGCGAGAGAGGCACGGATGGTGGGCGGATTATCTGGGCGCGATCACACCCCAACATCTGGGAAGTGGAGCGCACCCGTGGCTTACCGCCAACAATGCGAGTTAAAAAACTAGTACCTCCAAGATACTAGTAAACGTTTGCCACGGGCTGCCTCCAGACCCCCGTGGTGTGATCACGCCGGCGCGCGGCATTCTCCTCCGGTCCCTCGTTTACCTGCCGGCGCCGAGGGAAGGACCGGTGGTGTGCCGCCGGCGAGTCTGATCGCGTAATCGCAGATCAATCTGCACTGGGGCAATTAGCCTCCCCCCCCCTCCCCACGATATCCGGCCTGTGTGACCAGGGCCTACACTAAGCTATCACAGTGGAAACCTGGACTGTGTTTGTTATGGGTGTTTTGAAAGCTCTCTGAACAGAATCTTTCCTAAATGAGGGGTTGGCTTGTCTGTTGATTGATGGGCTCTCTTGATTGTAAACTAGAGCAAAGCCCAGCAATATTTGTGGTAACTGTCGGGGAAAAGCACCTGATCTTTCAGTTGTATATATTTCCCCCCCTCCCTTTTCATGTCCAGGTACAGTTACTTGCTGAGATATGTACCTGATCCAGCACTTTCTAGAGCAGATTCCTGGCACTCCTTGGGTTGGTACAGGACCTCTTTGCTAGCCAGTGAAGAGGAGGATTCTGCTGCCAGCAGCTTAAACGAGTGGGCGCCTGTGAGTGTTGCTAAGACACCTTTTAAAAGGAAATTTTCTGAAGGTAAACCAGTCTGATTATTTTGTGTTTGATCACCTACAGCAGTGTATATTTTCATGGCACTGACGATAATGCCTTAGTAGATTTGGCCACCACTTCTAATTAAAATAGCAAACCTGCTCATGCTATAACAGGGCTCATCAACAGGTAGCTTGCTGGCTGCTGCACAGTCGCTTGTGTATCCCTTAGAAGGCCCAGAAAGAGAACTAAAAAAAAAAATCTGCTGTAGGCTTTTTGGTTTTCCCCAGAAAACTTTTCTTAGGATTTCCCTGTGCTGATTTGCTGACAACTTAGTTTCTGGTGCTCTTCCAACGCCTCCTGTTTCTAGGACAGAACAAAACTTGGTTATGTGCTGGGGGGTGGGTGGCATTGTTCAGGATATTTTCATTACTCAGAAGTAGCTCTCATTAAAGGAAGAAATTGGTGACCCCTGGACTATAACCTATTATTAGTTTACAGGTAGGACCACACATGACTGAGATTCTCCATACCGAAAGAAATTCTTCTACAGAGAAAAACTGTGGCCCTTTCTGCACTCTCTTTTTAATCCATGTTCTCCGTGGTGTCCTCCAAGCAACTCTGCACTAAAATCAACTTCAACCTTCTTTTTTATTCTGGGTTTCCCCCCATTCTGCATTACATTACCTCCCTTCAGTGGTCAGCCCGGTTTCAGCCTGCTGTTGCTCCGGGTTGTTTGGACGCTGTTTTACTGTGGATCTAAATGGCCTCAACGTGAATACTGAGAAAATCCAGAGGGGCAGGCAAATGCGGAAAGGACCTAAAAGTATTTAAGCTCCTCTGAGAGGCTAGCTCTCTTATGTGGAGGGATTTCTTTTCCATGGAGGCTTTCAGTTGCATGAGCCTATAAGCTACAAATGGTACAGCTAGACACAGTTTATTAGCAGGCTTTCAGTTGCATGAGCCTATAAGCTGCAAATGGTACAGACTAGACACACAATTTATTACCACTGTGAAAACTAGGCCAACCTTAGTAAAAGATAAAAGCATAACAATAACAGGCAGTGGGGGTTGGTATGTTTTCAGTCAAAGGCTAGGAGACTTAGAAGAGTCCAAGAAAAATCCACTCTGCTTAGGATTACTCTGTAAGATTGATATCTTGACTCTTGTGATTCTGCCATTCATGTGGGGTCCTCAGTGAAACTGAGCACTCTGTATCTTATTATAGTTTGCAATATGGTGGTGGGGGATAGATGGAAGTGTTTTTCATTGAAATCAATAGGATTAGGCATGTAAGAAAATTAGACTCTGGAGTTCGTGTGTCAGAATGAACTTTTACACTGAATGAGTTGCTTTCCATGGCTTGGATTGACAGGTCCATGCCTAGTGTTCCCCATACACACCAAGGTACTTTTAGGCCATTCTTTTTACTGCCAATACCACCTGCACTCTCAAAAGCATCAATTGGAATGTGTGAGGGGGGAGTACTGATCAGTGTGGTACAAGGAGCTGCATCCCGAAAGAAAAAGATGGCTGCTAGCTACGTTACATTTTCTCCATGGTGGTCTGCAGGCTGGTTTGAGAGACGCATTCTGGAATTTCCCCAGTTCCTAATTCAGAATAGTGCCCATGGGAACTTAGGCCTTCTTATTCCTGCAGCGCTTTCCTAAAATGATCTTGGGTTGCTGCTATTTTCCTTGATGGGGGCGCCACATATATGGATGGTTGCAGAGGCACCCTGTTCACTGGACTGCCCAAGGCAATTTTGTCTACGGAACCAGTAGAAGAAAAGCATCTTTTAGCCCTGTTGCACCTCCCCCTGACTGCCTTTTCCCCATCTGCATCAGTGGTCTGCCCTCGGAGGTGTCCCTGGTTTCTGTGGGTGGTTAGTGGGGAACCTTCTCCCTCCTGCCTGCTAGTGGAGGCAAGAGGTATTGTTCCATCATTACCTTAGCCATTCCTTGCATGGTGAGAGAAGGCAAGGGGGCAGGTGGCTTCTCATTGCAGTTGGAGGTTGAGGAGGCAGGGCACTGTTTTCCTGTCTCCCCACAGTGGGGGGGGGAGTGGAGCAATTTTCCTGACTCCCCATTGGGGGGGGCGGGGGGGAATCCTGAATTGGGCCCATTTGCACATGCCAAGGGTGGAATTTCAGAACATAAATCTCAATCCCACATAGTTATGTCCTGAGGAGACATGTAATATATACATTAGAGCCTAACCAATGTCTCTTGGAATACGCTACCTAGAATATATGCATTCTAAGCCTACACGGTCTTCAGTCTCTTGTACTGGGCAACAGCTACATGAACCAGTATGAAGAATATCATTAATTGTCTCTTTCAGGAAGTTTGCACAAATCAAGTAACACTGAGAGAACGAATAGAACTTCAGATATCCATTACTCAGCTCATCTCCCTTCCTTGGCACCAAGGAGCAGGAAAAGGCTAAAATCTCACAACAGTTGTCTCCAAGAATATTCTCCATTGCTCACGTCTGCAAATCTTAAAAGAAAAAATAGGTGAGAAAACGTGTAGGTCATGTTTACAGTTGCTGGTAGTCTCTGGGACACTTAAACTATAGATGCAACCTACTTTCAAAGTTGCACATGAATATTTACTCTAATTCTGCAATGGGAACAGCAGGTTTGGATTAGTAAACAGGCCCCATCACCCCACGTGCTAAACCTGCACACATTTCAAAAACAGTTTGTGATCTGGGCCCTGCTGTTCAAAGACAATGAGTGAAAAATGCTAGTTGAAGGCATACACATTTGTGCATTGCTTGTGGAGAAGTGGGATACAAATAGTTTCATTTTGGCCTTTTTGTATCGGTATATTCTGTCAGCTGAGGTTTCTTAATGTCACACTTCTCAAACGTTATTTTTTTAAATTCTGGGAGATACTGAAATGTAAACAGCTAGACTATGCCTCTCATTTTAGCTGCCAAGTTGCAATCAAAGTTGAAGAGATTCCATCAGAAGATGCTGATGTTGACGTTGTTGGTGCTGATCAGGTAAAGATGGCTTTATTGGGGGCTTTTGAGTATCTTGAGCATTACGCTCAGGTAGAGGAAAAAGAAATTGATAGTACTCTTACAAGAGCAGTTTGCCTTGTTTAGAGAATTTATATGCTGCCTCTTCAGTGACCAGTTCAAGGTGGCTCAAAGGTAAGAATATCATTGAAACACCATAAATGATCAGTATTAAAAACAAGCCAGGAGCATAAAAACATCAAGCATCCTAAAAAAATACCATAAAACAGTCCTCAGGCTAGCTGCAGACTTTAAGCAACTGAAAAAGAAAACGTCTTCACTAAAAGCCTGTGTGAGGAGAAATGTTTTCACCTCACCCTTCAAAGACAGTAAAGTAGGGGGCAGAGAAGCCTCAAAGAAGAAGGCAGGGGTCTTTTCGCCCCGGAGCCCTCCGGAGCGGCGCTCCGGCAGCCCGCGTGGCAGCAAGCCCCGCCCCCGGGTCCCCCGAGCCCACGCAGGAGCGCTGCGGCTCGGGGGAGGCTGGGAGAGCCCCGTCCCCGGGTCCCTCGAGCCGGCGAGAGAGTGCTGTGGCTCGGGGCCTCCTCTTCGCTCTCTGGGGCCGCTGCACTTCGGCGTGAGCCCCAGGGAGCGAAAACGAGGCCCGTCGTGATCGTC